TAAAGGCTAATCTCAGTTCTTCATAGTTTGCATACCCAGAAGTGAGTACAGGACACACACACACACACCAGAGCCTTACTACTTCATTGCCCATTTGGTAATTTTTACATTAGTTATATTAGTTATATTAGTTATATTTAAGTTTCCAATTTTGTTTTGAACTATCCACTCATAATTGGACAGTTTAAGGCAAACGGGGAACCTGGGTCTACCTATGTTAGAGACTGCGAACTTGGATTACACTGGTAAGCTTAGAAACAAAAGACTTGTTTTCACTCTAGGTCAGGTATGTCAAAAATCTTCTGTGACAAGGACAAGTGGTAAGCGTGATTTAAAAGCTTGTTGGACATTAGAAGCTGGTTTGGGGCACATAATGAGATGGTACTGTTCTGTAGACAGTGAAGAATAGGATACAAGAGTAGCACTTACATCTCCAGAGCACCCAACAGGAACACAATAGCCCAGTCCTCCAGAGAAGATCATGGAATTTAAGGCCTGGTTTTGGTTTGTTTGTTACTTTGTTTACTAGTTGTGATGCTGAGAGCCTTTCTGAGACCAAACACTACATAATAATAGAAAAAAGACATGAAGGAAGCTGGCAACTAGTAGTCGAGTGTCTTATCAATGAAGCATTGTAACCATGCCTACCTTCTTCACTGAACTAAAGGGAAAGAATTGTAACTTAGTACTTTATACTACCATTTGATTCTCCCATGTGTTACTCATCATACAGTCCTCATGGACTTTTCAAGTCTATGGATGAATTTCTCAACTTTAGATGAAACCCAGACTGACAATAAAGTACAGTTTCAACTCAAGTGAGACAAGCTTCTATATTGTGTTCAATTATCATTCACAGTTTGGCTTTGTACATTCTGTAGGGATAATCCTTTCTTCAGCTGGTTCCTTTTTTTTTTTTTTTTTTTTTTTTTTTTTGGTTTTACGAGACAGGGTTTCTCTGTATTGTTTTGGAGGCTGTCGGTCCAGCCTGGCCTCGAACTCACAGAGATCTGCCTGCCTCTGCCTCCAGAGTGCTGGGATTAAAGGTGTGCACCACCACCGCCTGGCTCTTCAGCTGGTTTCTTAGTCTCCCTTTTTTATTGAGATGGGATCTGAACTCTACAGTAAGAAGATAATTAAAATCTTTAGGTCCTCCCCTTGTATAATCGTAGGTCACAATAGACTATTCTGTCACTGGCATAGAAAGTTTGAGCTATGTAATTAATTTCAGGCAAACGTGAATTACAAGGTGAGATACTTTCTTAAACACAAGTTAAACAAAAAGGTAAAAAGCTGGTTCCCCTTCCATCTAAGCCCACTGATCTCTACTACCCTCATAGTTATAGGTAGACAATAGTAATCATTACTTCATCGGAAAATTCTGAAACCTGTTGATGATCTATACACCCTAAGCAGATTTCGACAGGGACGATCAGTTTGGGTTCCCTGCTGGGTTAATATCTTCATCTATGTGAAAACCTAAGAAGCATTTAAAGGAGAAAAGTGCATTTGGGCCCAGCAGGCCATAGAGGTGGAGAGAAATACTGGAAGGGGCCAATTGGAGGGTTTATCTTTCCAGGATGTACCCTCACTGATTTATTTCATAGAGTACATTCAACTCTGACTATATTCATGGATTTATCTGGTGATGAAGATTGGACTTTATGAGCCAATCAATCCTCAGAAGCTCATTAGCTTGCAAACAGGCCTTTAACTTTTAGGAGGACATTTAGGGGGACACTTCATGTCCAAACTACAACCCTTACTTATAAGTTTTAAATATAGATCTACAGTGTAACACAAATGAACAGCATGAACAGCCATTTTTTATGGTGGGATTAAAAACCTCTCCCCACTCCCACCACCAGATTCTTATGTGAGTTTCAGAAAGCAAAGCTATGTCTAGAATTACCAAGCAAGAACACTTTATCCTATCCCTCGTAATAAAAATCTCCATGACATTTGCTCTTTGTACTGGTTCAAAATTAATGTACACTGAATGTAACATTTAAAATCTACTTCCTGGAGCCCGAATAATAAAACTTTACTTTCCCATGTACTTTAATAACACCAACCTTTTCTAAATCGGCCCCTCGTGTCTATGCTTCAAGCACACCCAGGAAAAACCTGGGTTTGCCGCTTTAAAAATTGTCTAGATTTTTCTCTCCCACCATGAATGTTTCCCAAAGTATACAGTTCCATTGCAGAAAGGAGAGCAGAATATGATCTGCATGGGACATAGTGGGCCTGAATCTACTGGGTGAGCATCTGAGATGGAGAAACTGCGGGGCATCTCAGTATCATTCAGTATACAGGAAGAGTAACCTGGATGACTTACAATCCAACCTAAGTAGAATGTTTCTCAAGGATGCTGACTCCCATGTGATTTATACAAACTCCAGGTATTCTGGGATGCTTGACTTATGTGGTAGTATATTACTCACTCACAAAGAAAAAACAAGTAACTTTGAAAAGAAATATCACACTCTCCTTCTCTCTCTCTCTCTCTCTCTCTCACACACACACACACACATTATATACACACAAAAAATCAAATTGTTAGCAATGACTCTGCTTGATTCCTTTTGCATAATTGGCTTAAAAATTCCTTCCTCTATTAGTAACACCATTGGTTTATATGCGCTTTACATTTATGCTATTCTGCTACGTGTTTGCCACTGTACAAAGTCCCTTTCCTTATAGATCTCAAAGACTACTTTAAAAATAAGGTAAAATGATACAATATGATCAGTGTAGGAAAGTCTTTAGAGGAAGAATGACCTGGGATAGGTTAAATTCTACCTGAGTTCACAGTGAAATTGTTGATTTGCTCAGAACAGCCTTTGCTTCTAGATGACTACAGGTTAGGTTTCCATCTAGGTTCAGGGAAATGATGAACATTAGCGGCTCCCTCCTCCCTACTTTTTTGAACATTTTCCTAAAAGACTGGCTATAAATGTGTTATAACCTTTGAAGTTTTATAGGCATCTTTCTCTGAGTTGTCCTTGACTGTGCTCAAATCAGAACATGGGATAATGGCATGTATCATAAAGAAAAAAGGTTGATGATACTTTGTTATTCATGAATAAATATGCATTTGTTTCATATTTTTTATAAATTCTATGGTGTTCTAGTCATTTCAGTATTGCAGAAAGGTCCTTAGCATCCTCTCTGAGAAGTAATTTGTTATTCAATTAGTTTATAGTTCATCCTGTTTCTCATGCAACAATCCTCTAGATACTGAGCACACCATGTTTACTCTGTTATTTACAAAAAGATAGAAAGTTTAAAGCTTTACTGTTAGGATATTCTGAAGTGACATCTTGCAACAGCATCGTGGGACTAAGAATAATTGGCTGTGAATCTAAACCTTATATTAAATTTAAAATAGTTTTGGAACCCCTGGTGTCTGGTAAATAGAATCCTAAAGGAACAGATAAACTCCAAATGACTTTGTAAATTTTATACCTTGATCTTTCTCAAAACCTCCATGATGCTCCCTCTCATTCTCTAGTTTCTGTTGTTGCCTCCCCCACCCCGCCCCCAAAAGTTCCATAGTTGACTCAGGTTGGGATGCCTTTGGAGTCCTTAGGATCACTTTTCTTTTAATGCAACTATAATATATATTATATCATAATATTAATATATATTATAATATTATATATGTTATATATTATAATATATATCTGTCAATGACAAAGAATCTTGGAAGGTCTAAACTTCCATTTGCTACATAGGAATTCATTTTTGCTGCTTGCCTAACTTCACAGTTTCAGTTATTGTGAGCTAACAATATTATTCATTTTCCCAGCTTAGAGAAAGGAGAAAAAAAGCACTGTGTTAATTCACACAGATGAATACATTGGGTTTTGTGTGTGTGTGTGTGTGTGTGTATGTGTGTGTGTGTTTGTGTGTGTGAAATGCAATACAATGCTTAAGGATAATGCAATGCAAAGTCTTCAAACTCACAAAGCTACCTCCAGTGATATTTCACCTCCAACAAGACTAGCTTTCCTAAGCCTTCACAAAGAGCCCCACCACCTATTGATCAAAGACTCAAATGCCTGAGACTATGGGGATCATCTCATTCAAACCACCACAGTCTTACAGAGTGAACACAGACTACTTCAGTTTTGAATATCACTTGTCATAATGATGTTCACATGATCAGCTCAAAAACGTCTTCTTGAATGCAGTCTTTTCCCAATATTGATATATATTTGACTTTTCATAAAATTGAAGGTTATTATCTTATATTGAAAATTAAAATTTCCATGTACCTTTTTATAAACTTTTTTAAAACTAGTGGCAAGAAACACCACAGGGCAGAGGGCCTGCATCAGTTGCACTCAGTGGGGATTCTCCAGTTGATATTTTCATTGATTTATTTGTCTGGATTTACAAGTGTGTCTTTCTTTCTGGTATTTGCCTTCTCCATGTCTGCTGTCTTTGAAGGAGAAAATTCTGAGTAAAGGACCTAGATATGCTACTTTTTAGAATTACAAAGATTATCTTAATAAACCCACTATAAGCTATGGGGAGGAGGAACTGGTTCCTTTTTCTGGGAATATAGACTTTACAGTATCCATTTCCCACAGCTTTCAAATGATCAGGAAGATTTGAGTTTTTGGGTTTTGTTCTGGAGGGATAGGTTAAGTTTCATGGCACAGAAGACTCTTCCTAGTATTGAAAGATTAAATGACCATATTATATTTATACCCTTCTTGCAATTTTATAACATTGAAATCTAACACATGCTCATTATCTTAGTTCTTAAACTTTCTCTTCTTTGAAAAATACCAAGGAAGTTTAATTCGTGTGGCTATTATATGCATATACATATCCTTGGCATAGTCTCATCTTCTGAAACTATACTAGGCTTTAGCTTTCATTGTTGAGATCATTTGATTATCTTCGCATTAGTTAACCATTGTTTCTTGAATAACTTTATCTGTAATTGTGAAGTCATGTGTATGTCACTCTCTTTCTCTTACTCATAGCAACAGAAGAATGGGCCACAACTCGTTCCAGCCTGAAGGCACCACCACCAAGGTCAGCCAGAGGGGGATACAGGGAACACCCCTATGGTAGATATTGAAGGTCCTCTTCATCTGTGACCTCCTCAAAGACAGTTCATAGCCTCTGGTCTCCACACAAACAGCAACAAGACAAGTAATAGTCCTTTTTTGTTTGTTTGTTTTTTCTATTCTAGGGATAACAGCTCATAATTACTCCCACCTATTTCTTGTATTCCCCCTATACTGTTGACGTGACATTGACACAAGTATTATTTTACCAACCAGACTGAAAAAAAAGAAACCATTGGCAAGCATAGTTTATAAACCATTCAGTAGGATGATATCTCTTGATTGTTTTTTAACTGTTGTGTGTAAAACCCCTTTCCCCTTTCTGTTTTAGTTTCATTTTTCCTTTTTCTTTAGTAATAACAGCATGAATCTGTTAGGAGATTTTGAGTCTCAACCAACTAGCAGAACCTTTGTTTAGGGTTTGATAAAAGACTGTAATATGATTTTGAACTAGCTGATAATAAAGTTGTAGATAAGATGTTTTAACCTGTCTTTTAATATCTGTTAGTTAGATGGAGATGTTCAATATTAAGTTGTAAATTTAATTTTTAAATGCTGTTTTAATGGGGTTGAAAACAAGCAGCTACTGTATGTATGTAGCTAACTGAATTTGTTCAGTGTTTTAACCTGTATTTGTTAAAAAAAGAAAAGAAAAAACACACATAAAGTTCCATGTGTAAGCCTCTCTAAATAGGAACCACAATTTGTCAAATATGTTTGCCATAATTTGTCAATAAAGCTGAAGGCTTTTGTAAAAACTAAATTTGGAATTACTTGTTTTCTAACTTTAAATGCCTGCTTTATTTCTTCTTCAAGAGATGCCTAAAATGTTTTCTATTTAAAAATGACAAAAATGAACCCAAGCCTGTTTTAAGATTTCTGTGTAATACTTAAAATGTATTAATAACTTATGGTTGTTAAATAATTTAAAAGTTAACAAACTAAACTGTTACATGAGTCATGGTTAGTAAACACTAATGTATAACATGTTAATGGAAGAAATGGATTTAGAATAATAAATGGATTTTAAACTATCCTCTAAGCTTTATCTTGCTAAACATAAATTCTGATTGACTTGTTTGCACTAGCTTGTCTCTCGTGAGAAAGAGTAATGGAGTATAAAGAGGTAAGATTACCACTTACCACTGTCTAAATGCCTAGTTCTTCAACCTTTGAGTTTCCCCGCACATTAAATATCCCATCCAACATGTAAGCATTGTGTAGATTCACTTTATTGTTTTCACTCAGAGGAGTGCGTGGACTTCATTTGCGGTAGTTTATAACAGTTTGTTTGACAAACAAATCATCAGTGTCAATGGCTAGTTGTTGCTATTCAACCTCAAAAACTTTATTTGTAATTTTCAGTGCTAAATATCACCGCCCTTGAAGGCAGTTTAGAGGGCTGATATTTCTTTTGAGACTATCAGACTTGATGGCTGATGATTGTTAAGGAAATATGTCGCAGGACTCACAGGATGACTAAACGTTAAACAGGTAACACTAATAGTAACTGTAAGTTTGCCTATGCAGCAGTAATGTTAAATCTTCTCAGTTATTAAGTTCCTGATAGTTAAAAAAGTAAACCTACCAAAATATAACAAATAGGTCTATAGGTTATTAAAAGAACTAATCAACATTAACTAGAGGCACCAAAATTATTTTACAATATATAACCCTCAAGTCAATAAACAGAACTAAAATTAGCAATAACAGTAATGCAACTCTTGCTAACATCAAACGTAAAGCTAAATTTTGATGGAGAAAAACAAAGTGGAAGACTTGATAATAGGGATGGATGCCAAAACTGTTACTCCTTTAAAAAACACAGTTTTTTTTGTTTAACGGTGGCTTTTTGTCAATGTGATTGGTTTACTTTTTTCGCTGCCTATCAGCTGAGGCATTTTGCTGTTTAGTTTTTGCAGCTGGAGTTGCATGCTAATAGTTTTATAAAGTGTTTGTCTGTCATCAAATAAAATTGTAAGCATTTGCCTTTTAAAGATGCTGCTCAGTTACGTTTTCGTATTCTATTCTTTCTTACTATTTCAGGTACGCACAAAGAGCACTTAAATGGTAGCAGATGTGATGGGCTAAGGAGGATAAAGGTAAGATGATGGTTGTCATTGACATAATCTCTACCAAAGTATAACACAGCATGAAGTTATAGCAGCGAGCTAAAGCTCGAAATGCCACATTTTGGCATACCGAAAAGGCTCAGAATTTTAAAGAGCTGAGTAATTTTTATCTGTGCATTAAAGATTCGGCTTGGCAGCAGGCTGGCAAGCTTTTCTACAGTTGTTTAAGTACTTGTCAAATGAAGTAAGAAGTAGTGATTAATATTTAGTCTTTTCCTTTGTAATGAACTCCTTTTCTACAAACTATTCTCCCAATTGTACAATCAATCACACTATTAAAACTTTTAATACTCTGAAGATACAAAAGCAGAGAAACATAATCTTTAAGAAAGGTTAAGCCAATGCCAGCATCCCTTTAGACTAGTCAAATAAATACCACCATGGCTTTCCCAGTTGGATCTCCTCCACTGATTGAAAAATTTCTTGTTTCTCAGCTTCCATTTTATTTGATTTAGCAAACAGTTATTGAGTAACAAGCACTCTAGGAAATTGAGGCCTAACTTCTATACACAAGGATCTGAAAATATTGGCCAATAAACTTCAAAGTAAAATCAAAACACAGACAGTTATGAAATCCACGGACTGGCCCGAGGCAAAGAAAAATGAAATGACTATGGCCAATGTTTGAGGAAGGATTAAAAACGCCAAGCTTTCTGTTGCTGATCATTTCTTTGTTTGTTTCTGTGTTTTTTAACTATATAAATATTCATTATTTGGGTTAAACTTGAGGCGGTTCTAGGACTTGGGGTGGGCTCCAGAACTTGGATGGGCTGGAAGGAACAGAGGAGACTTTATTCAGTAGGGAAGAAAGAGCCCTTGGGGAAGGAAATGCACTGTTGGAAATACTTCTTCAACTCACAGCCTTGGAGATTTCCATTAGCAGAATATGTGCAGGAGTGTAGCAGGGATGGAGAGGCATTAGAGAGAAAACATCTGCAGGGAACAAGGTAAAAGCCATGTGGAGCTATTTGCAATTATTAAGTATGTGCTCATGTAAGGTGGTTTCTCCAAAGTCAAGTTGTTTGGATAACTACAGAACAATCTCTTGATTTCAGCTGCAGAACCTTTGTAGACTCAACTATTCAACGTTATGGAGAAAAATGCGGAAGTTAATTAGAATTAGGACTCTAAATGTTTTAATAAAGCCCATGGAAGAAGCTCAGATGCAGAAGCCCTGCTTCTTTCAACCAGTAGCAGGGTTTAATAGCACAATGGAAGAAATTCAGCCATAGCCTCTAACCATTTTGACATACTAGCCCTGATTTATGTGCATTATAATAATCTCATTGTTGTTGTGGATGTATGTACTAGCCTGACTCCCATGCATTCTACACAAGGACCACATAGGTTCAGGACCCTCTATCTCAAGCTAAGCCTGCTGGCAGCATGACTCCCAGAACTTCTCCCATGTCATATGACTCACCCACTGGTCCTGTGGAAGAGGCTGTGGAATGTTCCCCATAGATTATTAGAGGGAACAAGGGCCAGGCTGTTTGAAAGAGCCGTAGAAAGGTACAGGCAGTCTGCAGGAAGACAAGGAGAGTCATGCACGCATGCAGTCATCTGCAGAAAAGCAACATGAGTCCTGCACACATGCAGTCATCTGTAGAAAGGCAACATGAGTCTTGCACACATACAGCAATCTGCAGAAATACAAGGAGAGACATGCACACATGCAGTCATCTGCAGAATGACAGGGAGAGTCATGCACACATGCAATCATCTGCAGAAAGGCAGGAACCAGTGCTGGCTAGGATGCAGTAATGCCAGTGGACACAACCGAGTAGAAAAAAAGACAACAGTTGGTGCCTGCTACCCTTAAGACTCAAATAAAACCACAAAATGAAAAGAAGGAAAATAATCCCTTGAGTTATACAGGAACTCATGGCCTAAATAACTCTGGATTGCCTAGGATTATTTTTGCCTACCTGAAAGAACATACAGAATAATATGAAACCAAATTTAGGAATAGGAAAACATGATTTTACATATACAGGGCAGATTTTTTAACTGGATAATTTTACCAACTCTTCAAATCATTAGAAATTAATACAATAGGATTCTCTGGAGCTGGGGAATGAAAATTCTCCTAAGTTAGAATGACAACCTTTCACCCAGTGTTCCTAACAGGATGCCTCTCCCATGAGCAGCAGAAAGCTATGCTGGGTTCCACTGTTACCAACCTATCTGCTCTCAGGAACTCAAAGTGATGACTCTGAAATATGGTGAACATTCCCATATCTGAAACCACCTCATGCAAGTGATGGTATTTGCATGGCAAACTTTGAATCAACCTCTACGCATTCCATTTACATACATTCTGAAGCTCTGTGTGGACTTCCTATGGATTCCTTCAGACAATGAAGTTTCCATTGGTCGACTGATAATCCCATGACAACTGTGAACTCACTGAAATACCAAATTTGAACACTTAACAAAGTATTTAAAATAATAATAGCATTAGTAATCAAGAAAATTTTGTTCCTTCATTTGTCCAAGTTTTACTATATTCAAGTTTGGCTAAAACAGGATCAATTTGTTTGCATTTGAAAATGTAGCCATTGATTACAAGTTGCTTAATATTTAGATAGTATTCACCTTTAGTTTATTAATGGACCCAAAGCCATTTGGCTTGATAACAACTGAGCTGCTAACCATTTTTGAATGAATGTGAAGTAAAATGACATATAAACATTTTTGAAAATTCAATTAAAGAAGTCAATGTTTTAGAAATATATTAGTAAATAATCACCTTTACTCCTTTAGTGGTTCATTTAAAATCACTTGTGTTTGTATTTTCAGAACCACATATGCCCTTGGAAAGAGACCCTCCATAGCATTCTCTCTGCATTCATGCAACATAGACATATTTAGGATTTGCTTCTGTTTGGTTTTGATGGGAATACAGGGCATGGTCCGAAGTTGGAGTGGACAGAATACCAAATTCAAGTTCTGATGTGCAAAACCTGTTACTGAAAATGTTGTCTGCCACTCATGCAGATTCAATGAGAAGCTTAGTTCTTACTGTAAAAATACTGCAGTAAATGTGTGGAAATAAGCAATAGTAGGGCAATTTATAAATTAATTATGTATAAATTAATATGTGCTATAGGGGAAAATATCAAACATAATATAAGTAATCATGATGCAACCTTTTGGTTTTAGTCACACATGTCAAACATAGGACTAGAAGTTTTACATAAACACTACTATTCAACATATATAAATTTTTTATAAAAAAAAACACCTGGAGTAAAGCAAGCAGCTCCATTCTGCAGAAAAGATATTAATGTTATGCTGCTAATAAGAAGCTAAAAGAATATGGAAAAGGAAGTTTTCTGTCCCACATGCTACTGTTATTTTTACTCTTTTATTGCTTGAGAATTTATATTTTTAGCAGTTACATGGAAAGGGATAGGTAAGATGGCTCAGCAGTTGAGAACACTTGCTGCTCTTACAGAGGACTTGCATTTGCATCCAGGCACCCAAGCAGAGTTCTTCACCACCTACTGTAACTACAGCTCCAGGGGATCCAAAACCCTTTTCTTGTCTCCATGAGTACCTGCACATTCCTGGCATTCATTCACATAGACACACACACAATCATAAATAAATTTAAAATAATCATAGAGATTGAAGAAATTTGATCAAAAATAAGAAAACCCCAAACAAATTTACCCTAATTTCTATTCTGTAGCAATAAAATGACCACTTTTTAAAAGCACACTGTAGTGTGTCTCTTTTACTTTGAAATGCATTTTTACTTTCATATTTCCCCAAACACCATTCTTCTAAAATTTCTCACTCCATCACGGAAAGATGCAGGTGAAAGCCTCAACATTGTCACAAAGCATGACTGTAGCCTTTTGTAAAGCAAAAGATTCCATTTATAGTCTAAGCTCCATTTGACATTATGATAAAACATTCAGATAATTAAATGAGCAGGAAATGATTCCAGGTTTTTGTTCTGCAATCAAAGATAAGAACTCTGTTTAAATAAAACATTAAGGTCAATTTCAACACATAAATATTTCTGTGTAGCCATAAAGCCATGTGTTAAGAGAACAAATGAAGGAAGCAGGGCATCTTAAACACTTTTTAAAATGTCTGCTTCTAGGGTAATATGTTCCATTTGTCTGGATATTCTGGTATCCTGACGAATAGCTGATTTAATAAACAGTGGCATCATTGTCTGAGAGACACTAGGCTTCTACATAGAGCTTGGAGATTAATTTCCAGGCTCCTTATGCAGAATGTATTAATTGGTTCTTGAAAGATTGTTTATGTTTATGGTGAGAGAGAGAAAAGGTCACTGTACTTAATATGCGTTTTACATCTGAGTGTTTTGTACTTGGTAAGGAGCGGGAATGAAAAGGATCATATGTCTGGTTCTGTAGTCATTCCATTCAACTTCGACAACAGAGCGTTTGGCTCCTGTCTATGCATAACTTAGCATGCAGTGATTAATTTCCACAACCCTCTCTTACCTGAGTTCAATTCTCAGTTTCTATGAGATCAGCATTTATGCATTCTACATTCTGTGCCTGTCTTATTTCACTTCACATCATAATATCTAATTCCATCTATTTTGTTTCAAATGACAGGACTTCATTCCTTTGTATGGCTGAATAGTATTCTACTATGCATATGGACTATATTTACCTCATCCGTTCATCAGTTGATAGTCATTTTGGTAACTCCATGCCTTGACTACTGTGAATAGAGCTTCGATGAACATAGGAATGAAGGTATTTCCTCAACATACCCATTCCATTTCCTTTGGGTTTACCTCCTAGTAGGATTGTTGAAGTGTACCATATTTTTATACTTATAGTATTTTATACAATAGCTGTATGAACTCATATTCCATAAAGGGGCTCAAGAGTTATTTGTTATCATAACCATTCTTATTGACATGTGGTAAATAGTTCACTGGGAATTTTGTTTACATTTTTCTGATGAAATACTGATGGTGAACTTTTGTCATAAATCTGTCAGATATAAGAAAAATATTTTATTTAAGATCAGATTTCTTTTTTGAGTTGTGTGGACACAAGCATGGGAGTACAAGTGTACACCGAAGCCTGAAGTATCATAGCTCCCTGGAACTGGAGCTAGAGGTGGCTTTAAGCCACCAGAGTTGGTTGCTGGAACTTGAACTTGGGTCCTCTGAAACAGCAGTGAGTGCTCTTAAGGGCTGAACCATCTGTCAGGCCACCACCCACCATGGGCAATAATATTCAAAACACATATGCCATACCTTCTTAGAAACATCTCTGGGATTCCTTTGTCATTGATAACCTCTTAGTATAAATTTATTGAACTTTTAGCTGTTTTCACCACTAAAAATTATTGTCTCCAAATAGGTCAGATTAGTGAATGGGTAATTTTCAGAAGGGCTTTATTTTGTTTTATACTGCTTTTAATGATTCAATGTTATTATTGCTAAAATAGCATGTAACAGAGTGAGTGAACAGAATGCCTAAGGTAAAATTCAGGTGTATAATACCACTTCTTAGAGATAATTTTTGTACTTTATCATTTTTACCTTCATTCTTTTTTCCCCTCTTCATTAGCTGCCACCATCTATTTATCTTAAATAAGATACTAGTAGATAAATATAGTCAACATTCCAGGGGTTTGGATTTAGTATTTTTATATGTTTGTGGCAGTTCACATTGTGAAGAAAAGGCTTCTCTCAAATTCCTGTTGGGCTTGGGCTGGTTGCAAAATGATGCTCCTGCCTCAGTACCACACATAGTTGTGGCTGTTCACAAACACAAACGGGTTAAACTCTTGGGACTTTAACTTTCAAAAGTGAGCCGACTTTTAGGTATAGAAGGACAAAGTATGTAATACCCAGTCTGCTAAGGCTAATGTGTGTGTGAGGACGAAAGCTGTTTAACCGGCTGGGGAAGAAGGAATGAACTGGAGTGTGAATAAAATTATTTTAACCTTCTCAGCTGCCGTTTTGTCATCGGTAAAATAGTCATAATAATAGCTCTAGCTCATATCATCCTGAGATGAAATAAAATGATACAGGTGATTGTATTTCCTCCCAAATTTAGCAACTATGCCTGCAAATTGGTTATTTTTCCTTTTCAACAAATTCTAAATGTATCACATCTTCACAGTGTGTTTCAAGTGTGTAAATAAAAATTTATTCTATAAGAAAGTGTTGGAATCCAAATCAATTTTCTTCTAGAAATATTTAATATACTCTTAAAATATTCTAATTTAAATAATATTAATATTCATGTAGTATATGTCTTAGAACATAATGAAATATTCATCACCATATTTATTCTGTAGCCACATATGTCAAATAAGTAATGGGAATTATAAGATATTTATATTTACAAAAATCCTATAAAATATCTTAAGCACAGACTTATAAATATGTCCTATGGGTTAAAATGAAGGTAATTCCAGCAGAAATTTAATACAATTGTTATATGAATAATGTAAAGAAAATGGCTGATGCAATAATGGATTGCATAATACATGCTATGGTTTATGTTCCTAGAAACAGTTTCATGTATTTTTCCCAATATTCTTCCATATGGTGCAGATAATCTGGGGTGAAAGTATTTACTTTACACAAACCTATAAGTTTCGCGTATCATTGCATCTGAATGCCAGCAACCAGAAAGAATCTATATGTAGCTAAGTACGCAATCATTTTTTGTATAGGTATGCAATAAATAACCAAGCAACATAAAGCTTCAATAAAAAGGAAAATCAACTAGGAAATTGTGTGTCTCAAACCACAACCATGGTCACTTGTAACTGAAGACATGCTTTCTTATATTGGTGTGTCTCTGTGTGAATTCCTGCAAGATGGGATACAATTTCTAGGTTTTATCCCTTATTCTATCAAATAATACAACTGAAATGAGCATTATCTTTTGTTATAGTTAAGGTGCCAAATAAACAGGACATGGAAATAGAGAACAAGCTAGATTTAGAGAGAGAAGTAGTAAGGATCCATTACGAGTTCAAGGGCATGAGAAACAAAGGGGAGTTTCCTCCTACATCCTCAGAGCAGGCATTGTCTCCAGTCTCCACCACATGCAGGTTTTCATTAAAAACCGTACCAGAATCTCCTGTGTCAGCTCAGCTGGCCTTATACTCTTGGCCATAAGAGCTTACACTCCTGACAAGTAGCTGGGGCTCCTTTTGTGTGCCATGGTTCCCAGAACAGGACAACGGTTTACCACTGTTTTCTTAAATCATTGAACTTTCCCTTGTGACATTTTCACCAATTTGAAGTTTTCCTGTGTACAATATTGGGTCAACAATGCAAATTGGTGCCAGTTTCTCACAGTTTTTTGTTAATCATTTTAGAAAATTACAAATAACATGCATCACAACTTTGGGCTGGCCCAGAGATTTTTTAAAAAAGGAAAAATGTCAATCTAGACCTCAAGAGCTTGCTCAGCAGTTCAGAGCACTGGCTGCTCTTTCAGAGGTCCTAAGTTTGAGCCCCAGGTCCCACTTAGTTTCTCACAACCATCTGAAACTCTAGTTCCAGGAGATCTAATGCTACCCCATGCTTCTTTGGGCACTGAATAGGCATCCATGGTACACTGATACCATAAAGGCAAAATACTCATACACATAAGCGGTTATTTTAAGGAACAAGTACTGAGTACTGATTCTACAGATAGTTTACCACACTATCTTACAATACTCCTGGTATTTCCAAGTGTCAGTGTCCATCCATTTGTGTTTTCAGAGTCCTGTAACTTGGTACAGTGTATGGTGTTACCAAATGTTTTGACTCTAAAGATGATTTTAATAAGAATTCATTGCTTATTTAATGCATTTATATTATTGATGAAGTTTGTAGATTATTATGGCAAAAGGTTAATTGCTATAAAGTTCCTTGATGAGTTAACTTGGTATCAGGCAGTGGGACTGTTAATTCTCTAGAGTTTAACTCTAAGTTCTTTGTATATCTTAATATCCAAATGACTTATAGAATTGGTACTTTGCTACCAGTAACTGTGTAATTTCAATACAATCACTACAGGAAATAAGAGCAAATAACACTCTACTGACAACCCTGTGCCTAATGAAGAATGCTTATTAAAGAGTAGTCTTGTAAAAAAATCTTCAGCTGAAACATATTCAGTAGAGGCTGAATTTGCTAAGTGCATCACATCCTTGCTATTACACACACTGAAGCATACCATCAAGGGCTATATCTCTGTTTAGATATCTCCAAGAAATATTTGGAAAGAACAGTCAGACTTAGCCTTCCTCCTCGCAAAATCAGAGTCTCCCAGGAAAAAGTATAACTTCTAAAATCTAAACTAGGGTACTAGTCTAGGCTGATAGGAGGCCATTATCAAATGAATACTGAACAGACACTGTTTTGCTTCTGACATTTTCATGCCTTATATTCTTTATGTAGTATCTACAGTTTCTGCAGATTAGCACATTGATTTGCATGCAAAATGCTAATGTTATATGTGCCACTACATGCCCATGAATATATTAACCAACGTAAGGCTTAATACTTTAAAATACTTCTAAGAGAATGCAGTGTATCTTGATTGGTTTATGTTAACAAATTGGACATACAGGAAGAGGAAATATCATTTGAGGAATGGCATCTTTAAGAATGACCTACTGATAAGACTGTGGGCATTTTCTTGATTAATTGTTAATGTGGAGGGCTCATATCTCTGTGGGCAATGCAGGTCCCTGGAAAGGTGGTTATTTGATGTCTAAGAGAGCAGGCTGAACAAGCCACAGTGAACAAACCAAGAAGCAGCATTCCTCCATGTCCTCTGGTTCAGTTCCTGCCTCCACATTTCTGCCTTGAGTTCCTGCTGTAACTCCTCTCCATGATGGACTCTAGTTTATAACCTGAAATAAACCCTTTTCCACAGAAGTTGCTTTATTATGATGTTTATCACAGTAGTAACAAGCAAGCAAACATTGAGACAAGAAGGGCAAGTTGTCTCTTATGGAAAAAGCCATACATTTTACAAATTATGTTTTTACATTCACGTATTTATTTGAGGGAGTACATGCAACATCATGCATTGGGAGACAAGGGGTGAGTTTCGGACATCTGTTTTATTCATCTGCCATGTGTGTCCCGGCAATGGTCCACAAGTCATCACACTTGACAACAAGTACCTTTATCCACTGAACTGTTGCACTGGTCTGCAAGACATTATTGTTGATCTTCATTGTTAAACTAAGAAAATAAAGTTTCATTAAATTAAAAGGTTTGTTCCACAAAACTCACGTGAATTTTGTGTGTTGAAGGTTGATGTGAAACATCTTCTCTCTAAGATAAGTAACCTTGTCTTTTTGTCAACGATAGTGTTTTGCCTGCACATATGTCTGCTGTATTACTGTGAGCAGATGGCTTGTTTCCTTTTCTGTCTAAAAAAAAAAACAGCATATGCAAGAATTTTGAACTTTCTCAGGCTCCAGGAGAAACCTCATTTCTGAACCGGAAACAAGTTCTTGAATTTTTCTCATTTTACACAGCTTAGGTGAGCTATATACCTCAGGGCCTGGTGTCTCTGGACCTCACAGATTTTTTTGGTGAAGTCAGGAAATGTACTTCTGTGACACCTGCAAATGGTGACACAGATTCATGCATTTGTAATGAAATGGCCCGATGACTTTCTGTACATGCCTAATGCAAGGGAAAGCAGAATCTAAGAATAAACAGGAGAGATTTTTATTACCTGGTCAGCGTCCACAACAGAAAAAAGCATATACAAAGTGTTTATAATAGTGTCTGAAGCACATAGAAAGATAGACCGTTTCATAATGCTATTTAGTATCTATATCACTGAACACCATTTCCTTCTCTTCTGGGGGCTGATTTATTTTCTTAAATATGATATGTTGCAAATACTTTATATTTTCTATGTAATGCTCATCTAATTAGAAAATAGTGTACCTATTAGTTATCTGATCAGACTTTCTTCCAGTGGGAGGGTACATTTTATCTCCTTAAATAACTGAGTGATGATATTAAGCTGTAAATGGAGTTAATTTAATGGACTTATCAGGTAATACATATGAATGGTAGATCACTTCTCAAATGATCTGTGTATATATAGCATAGTTTTCTTTTTAGTAAGACAACAGATGACTTAACATGATCCCTGTCTAACTGACTGAAAGTTCCTAGGCATAGTAATTACTTATTTGTGATTGCCTTCAACATGTAAATAGGAAAGCATGTTGTAGGGGGAAACTTAGGACTCTGCCATTAGCCACACCTCCTTCCAACCCTTTTGTTACCACATCTGTATGTGTCTTTAGAATGCCACATGGCTAATGGCAGAGTACTAAGTTTCCCCCTACAGCATATTTACATATATATTTATTTATTTAAATTAGAAACAAGCTTGCTTCACATGTCAATCCCTGCTCCCTCTCCCTCCCCTCCTTCCACGCCCTCCCATCAATCACCCTCCTTCCTCCCCAAATTCCCATTCCCTTCCCCAGGGAGCGTGAGTGTCATAAAGTTACATATAGACAAGTTGAGAAGTCTGTTACTCTAAAATAATATTTGCTTTTGAGGTGGTCTGACAAATTCTTCAATTCAAACCCCATTTTAATCTTCAATGTTAGAAAGGTAAAGCTCAACTTGTATGAGTTATTTCTTCATGTTTGTCTTTTATTCCTATACAAAGCAAGAACTTTGAATACTGATACATAATTCTTGTCACCTAGATGATATCATGAGATTTAAGAATTCTGGGAGTTTTAAAAAATTGTTTTTAACTTTCATTCAGTTATATTACTCTCAAATGACTTATTAGTGTTTTTTCCTGGGTAACTAAGGATATAAAAATCACTTGGTAGCCAAGTGCTTGGTAGCAGGGTGCTTCCCGGGGGTTGGTAGAGACATAAAGCTTGGTACCCTGTAGAGAAAGACAATTAGGTCTCATGATACACTTGTCCATTGCATGTACTAGTGTTAGTTCAGCTGCACTACTTCAGGTTGACTACAACTGAACTCAGATGCCTGCTCAAGACCGAGGGAGTAATCTGCTTCCCATCATGTCTTAGCTCCTTATAAATATCACTGTTTGTGCTGTGCCTTATGCCAATGACAGTGACTAATGGTTGTCATTATCTTCACTCAAACTCGTAAAAACTTTCTCAAGAAAAACCAATCAGAGCTAGAAAGATGTTAGTTAACCTGTTTTCCTACAACATGGAATGTAAAAGCACTTAACTACAAAGGTGAGATTGATAATTTATTTTGTTTTGAGTCTGTCTGACAACTGCTACTTGTGGTTAAATTTGACATGTGGTGAATTGAAATCCTGTATGTGAATCCCTAAGAGATACCTTCCTGGCTGATTACATAATGCTTCAAAGTTACTCCGTTCATCTACGAATATAGGTGATGATGTATAATAGAAAGCCAAATGCTAGCATAAATCTGACTCTGGTTGTGTGGAGGATCAGTATTTCTAGCAGTGAGTCAAACCCTTCATCATCCATTTGTGATTTCATTTAGGAACTCTGTTTTTAAGGTGAGTATAAAGTGTGCATTGTGAGCCCACGCAGAAATATTTAAATACGCAAAGCAGCTCTTTGTGTCAGGTGGAAGCTGAGTGGTGCATTAAATTATTGTCAAGCAAGTGAAAAACTCATGATTTTATTGTGCACTAAAGCAACACAACAATAATGTATTGATTCTCATTTGCCCATGGCTTTTAGGTCTTATATCACCAGAATTTGAAGTTGCGAATTCTTGAGTATTAGAGTAAAAAAGAAAACCAAAATGAGTCAACAAGGGTATGAATTTTGTTGAAAGAACATGATAAATGTTTGAATCATTTTTGACAATAAATAGAACAGGAGACATGGATAAAAATGTCATCTGTCATACCTGATAGACATTTATAGGGCTTCTGTTTAAAGAGTTATGTTGGTCATCTTTCCAAGTTTTACCCTTTTATGTTAGAGGGAAGATGAGTTTTGTTGCAAAGAGCCAGCATGGAGGCATTCAGTAAATATCTGTGGGATTATATGAAGATTAGCAGAGTGAACAGATTGTGATAGAAAAGGGCCATGAGTTCCCTCCTGAAATTGTAATTTTTCTCTAAAGCAAAAGGAGACATTAATGCATGCACTGTAAATAGAGTGTCCATGGGTCTTAGTTTATAGTTGTTGATCTGTTGTAAACCTGACCAATATCACCTTTTCTTTTTCAAGGTTTTAGTATGCATGAGAAAGTATGGTACCTTATCTATGAACAATAATAAGAGGTTATCAGTATTTATTACTCATTTATTGATAGTTGCCAATTGTTAGAGACCTTAAAATGATTTCAATGAATAATGAATTCTTTATAATAATCCAATAAGGCACTGGCTGGGGACATAGTGGTAGATCATTTGTATATTGCTATCTACAACATTTAAAAAAGGAGAACCAATTATGAGTCAAGTATTTTATTACTCCCACAGTTAAAGAAACTGAATTAATGAGAATAAAACAGCATGGTATGCTCTCACAGTGGGCAAGCCTATATCTCTCAACCTATAACAGAAGATAACATGTTTTTTCCTAATTACCAGTTTGTATAATTAATTATTTTGCTTAACATATTCAGATATTATCAGTAGTTCCTCTTTTGTTATCCCTAGCTTTTAGAACTGTGTTTCTTATAAGGCCAAGTGCTCTTTAAGATGCAGAAAAAGCCTGAATCCAACTGGGTAATAGTACAAGGTGCTGATGTCTCTATAAAAACAAAAAAGATTTTCTGGATGATTGGTTTGTGTCAGTAGTACAGAAATACTATTATATAGAAAGTCATCATTTCTAACAAAATGTCCAGATTCATATGAGTACACACTAAGTTTTTCGTGTTATAGAAAGACAAGTAAATATGACCAGGCTTATATACAATATGATTACAGTTCACTTGATGATACAAAGTATGGCTACAAATATGGACTCTGTCTTGTCATTACAGACTAAAGAAGTTAATTTGGCCCAGGACTGAAATATTGCATCATAAAGGAGATGAGATGGGATGGAATAGTCAGATATGGACAAACAGTAAGTGAAAAGAAACTTTTTCTTCCTTAGCTACAACTAATAGTTTCTTGTTTAGGGGGCTTGAGAGATGGCTCAGTGGCTAAAAGCTCCATGTTGTTCTTTCAGAGGACCTAATTTCCATCCTCAGTACCCATGTCAGGCTACTCAAAACCACCCATAACTCCAGCTCCTGTGGAGTCAAATGCCTTTGTCCTACAAATACACCTCTCTCTCTCTCTCTCTCTCTCTCTCTCTCTCTCTCTCTCTCTCTCTCTCTCTCTCTCTCTCTGTCTCTGTCTCTCTCTCTCTCACACACACATAAACACACACAGACTTTAAAATAACAAAAATAACTCTTTAATGTTAATGAAACAGCTGTAACTTGCTTGAGATATTATATCTGATTATAGGTTCATATTAATATCTGTAATAAATTCATTCAGAGCTAGTAAACCTAATTTAGACCATAAACTATCAATGGCAGGATTTGTGCACTTTTGTTTAAAGTATGATTTTTTTTTAGATTGCTAACATATGGGTCAGCATCTACACTTCGTATACCACATAGTTATTAAGTGAATGAGACAGTTCAGACACTTGATTTATCCACCCCCTCCCCTTCCCTATGAGGCCAATTACAGCAGTTTCCTTGTGAAGATTGAGTCTGGGGCTGCTGTTGCTTGTTTTTGTTTTCTTGCTTTTATGTTGTTGTTGTTGTTGTGGAACCAGAGGATTTCACAGTTATCATCACCACAAGCTTTTAAGCTTTTTATTTACAGGAAGAAAAGTAGAAACAGCAAAGGGGGTACACAAAGTTAGCTGCAGGAGGTTGTCTTTTGAGAATAGTCCAATTCCAGTGAGAAACTTCTACCAGCAAGACCACATTTCTTAAATCTCTCAGACAGGAAGGCCAACTGGGGACTAAGAGATCAAATGTGCAAGACTGCAGAGAACATCTCATTCAAACTGCCACAGCTGTCAAACCCTTAACTCAGATCAGTCCCTCCCCTGGAAGCAGCAAAGTCACCAAGCATATCCATCCAGTTTCTTCAAGCACCATCTGCTGTAAGAGATGTTTGGTCTCTCGCTGTTTTGGTTGGGTCTATTGAGAACACTTTTGATGTCATAGCCCAAAAGATAATCGAGAAACTCTATCTCACGCTAAATATTGGCCACAGTGAGATCAAGCATCCTTAGCATTGGTTTCTCAGAATGTTTGGATGTTCACATTCTCTTGATGGACTCTCAGGGGACATTTTGAAACAGGTTCAGAGGGAGAAGATAATAGGAAGAGTAAACAATGAAACGAACACATAATACAGATGGGAAATACTATGGTGAGCTGATGGTAGAAAGTTTGATCATTCCAAGACTGCGTTCATCACTTAGAAAAACATGGAAAATACATTCAAGGTGAATCAATTTTTGTAGTGAAGATTTCCACTTGCTTTAGAATTAGGAAATGAGAGCACATAGAAAGGAGGAGCCTGGGAAGAAGCTATTGTCACAGCACTAGACCAATGGAGGCCTAGACCTGAGACCACCTGAAGAAATCCAGGCTGACCCTCCCCTTTGATTTATTTTGATTCACTTGACCTTTCTATTTAAGATAGAAAAGCTTTAAAAAACAGTGACCTCCCATCCTAAAGGAATATTCAGTAAACTCTCAAGGTGACTGTCTTCTCACAGACACATGAAATTCAGAGTTGAATGAAACCTCACAACTTCAAATTGCTCAGCAGAATATTAGTGTTTATATTGGTTGCCAAACACCCCCACTCAAAGCTTTATTCTCCTGACCTCCTTAGTGGCTGCTACTGCATTGTCTTAGCTTTTCCCCATCCTCATCCTAGAGAGTCCTAATCCTCATCACATAAACACCAGGAAGGAATCCATAATCACGTCATTCATTATTAGTAGTGATTGAAGAAGATCAGATACAAAATAGTTCATTTATTTGCCTTGGGCTGAGAAAACAGTGAATCCATGTATTAAGGATAATTCAAGCATGGGCCATCACATCCTTGGTGTGACGACTATTGTTACTTGTCTACTTGACACACCTTGGAATCTCAGTTAAGAAATTACTTCCAACTGATTCATCGGTGGGACATTTTCCTGATAACTAATTGATGTGGCAGGGCCGAGAAAACTGTACTAAGTGTTATCCCTGGGTGGGGATGTCTGTGGCATGTAAGAAAGGTAGCTGAGCAAGCTAAACATGTGTCTCTATAATTAGGGATATTTCTGGGTGAGTAAATATTTAAAGAAGTGTTGTGCAGGAGAAATCATTTTTGTTGGGTTGCCTAGGTATGACTCTTTCATTTACTATTAGTTAATAGTGAGTAAAAGACTTCTGCCTTAGTCTCTCCTTCCTTAAATGAGAATAAAATATATCTTCTTTTATGATTCTTTTCCTGATGAGACAATCTATTTAATAAGCTACAATGATGTTGCCCTTTTAGAAAGTCCCTAGCATGGAGGAGAAGGTGCCTGGGGAGTGTGTTCTGGAAAATCAGCAGGCTTGACTAGATAACCTTTTTAGTCTCCTAAAGGTTGCACAAGATCAGTTGAGCTTTTACATTGTCTAGAAACCAATTTCCCATTTGAACGAGTTTTGTAGAAACCCGTGATAAAAGCACATCAAAACAGCTTGAAAGACCTAAAGTACTGTGTCCACAAAAGGTACAGTAATTATGTTAAAGGTATCATCTTGGATTCTGCTTATACTGAATCTTTTAAATGAGCATCAGAATTTTCCCTGGGCAGTTACTGTTCCTACAGAGGCAAACACAGATGGTACCAAGACTTCAGACTGTATCCTTCTTGGCAATAGCATTTATCAAATTGCCTCAGGTAAGTAAAAACTCAAAGCACACCTTAGTGTCATGCAGCATGGTAATTTAGGTATATAAACTTTTGTTAACAAATTCAAGGAATTTCTGATGAATGAAATATACTAGTAACACCAACAAATTCTTAATTCTAAGTTTGATGAAAGAGCAATTTCTTTTAGAGAAAAGGATCATTTTGTCTTTTCTAATGAGAATCTCTAGACAAAGCAATACCAAGATTTGGTTGCACATCTGTTTTGTAGTGCATGGGCGCATCACTGTTGCCTCCTGACTTGGTCAAGCACAGCAGAGTAGACAGAGGATTTGTCTTGTACATACTTACCTTATATGCACACATTCTAAAAGAGTGCAAGCTTCCTTTCTGTGATTTGAACAGCTCAATTCTCGTCATTGGTTTTGCTGTTTCTAGGTCTGTTTGCCCTTGAACCCTGTCCTTGCTCTTCCTCTAGCTCAATAAGGAGGAATCGGTTCTCTTGGGCTTCAGAGTAGACCCAGCCAGTGCTTCTGAGACTAGAGATGGAAGAGGCAGAGGACAGAGCCTTCCTCTGAGATTCACTCTGTCTCCTTCCTACTCCTGCCTCAGCTTCATCTCTTGCCTGATCCTTCTCATGTGTTCCTGGGTTCTGGCCCCCACCAGACAGCATCCAGCTGCCCATGCTGTGATGTTTCAAAAGGCCTAAATAAAAGTCATTCACCTGTCTTACACCAAAAGTAGCAAACTAATGGTCTTGCAACCTTGGAGCTAGCTAAGCTTTCTTGGGGAGTTTAACATGGCAGCATATACTAATGTCAAGTTCCAAAAGATAGTCATGTGTGGGGATTTCCCACATCTTTTTCCACACACACCATTCCATTGCTCTCCTGGTCTTCCTCAAATGGCATTTTTCCTCCCAGTTTCTCTTGTTAGGTTCTGTGAACTCTCCTACTCACAGTTAGGTGGGGTCACTTGTGGCTTCATGGCACATTATATGAAATGTAATATGTTCCCAATTCTTGTCAGATTTAGGTCTCTATAATAGAAAGGTCTGTCTCGGTTTCCTACATCTACTGCCCAGAAACTTCCCTGACACTGAGGTATCATTTAAAACATGTTTGCTGAACTACTAAAACAGTGCTGGAATCTCTAGGGTCTCACAAGCTAGGTCAAAATTACTATGAGCTCTTGGCAAGAAAGTGTTTTGTTGCTCACCGTTCTTAATTTTAGGTCATATTTTAACAACAAACTGGTTATTTTTCTAAGACCTGGTATTTTTTCCCTGCTCATAAAGACACTTATGTCTTTATTGAATAACAGTGACATGGGAAAGAAATGAAAGCACTTTAACGACTTCAGATGAAAATTCTCAAATCTGTTCTCGCTGATATTCTCTTCCACCAGAAGTTGCATCCTCTCCCTGAGTCTGTCTGTCTAAATTTAAACCTCATTTCCATGTCCATCTAAATATGTCCCCGCTGCCTCCACCATCAATTAAGTAAATGCCGCATCTCTAACTCATTTCCTTTCAGAAGACCAGCTCAGCCGTGCTCTGTTTATTCAATTATAATGGCTGTCTCTGCACACAGCCTCCAGTGCCATTTCTCATGCATTTGTTTATTTGCCCCAATTAGACTCGGAGCTTTACAGACAGAAGTATTTTTTTCTTTTATTCTTTACATCATAGGCTTGCGAATTGAATGTCTTCTAGATTTTCCCGCTATCTGTGCTGGGGTCTTAGCTCTTTATCAAATAAACACCCTGTGTATTTGAACTATGCATAGGTCCACTCTAAGTGGGTATTGGTGGCCTACACAAAGCACAGGTCAGAGTGGCTCCTTGTCCAGACACACTGTGGGCTCCAGGTACTGCAAGGACTTTTCTGCTCTTGACTTATTACTTTAATCCCAGAAATCAGGAGTCAGAGGTGGGCGGGTCTATGTGAGTCTGAGGACAGCCTGGTCTATATAGCGAGTTCCAGAACAGTCTTCACTACATAGAGAGATCCTGTCTCAAAGCTAACAAATAACAACAGCAAATAACAATAATAATAATAATAATAAAACAAGGAATATCCTCGAATTGCTCTCCTAGGGACTTGTCATTACCTTTCTAGCATTCCTATCATTGATAAGTAGTTTGCAGAATCTTACCGTCTTCTTCAGAACACATAATGGTATTATATACATATT